AAAATTTTTACTAACATAATGGCTGAAAGATTAAAGTTAATTTTACAAAATATAATACATCCAGACCAAAATGGTTTTTTACCCCAAAGACAAATCAGAAACAATATTAGAACGGTCTTAAATGTTTTAGAGTATTATGAAATACATTCAGGAAAACAGGCAGCTTTGATTTTTTTTAGACGCGCAGAAAGCATTTGATAGCCTCAATTGGCAATTTCTGTTCCAACAGATTGAGGATATGAAATTCGGTGAGAAATTTAGTAACACAATAAAGGCAATATATAGAACACAGAGAGCTAGTGTGATATTCAATGGAGAGAACACAAAAAGTTTTTAAATAAACAAAGGGGTAAGACAGGGATGCCCAATTTCACCTCTACTCTTTATTTTGACTCTTGAAGTACTTTTAGTTCAAATTAGAGCAAATAAAGAAATAAAAGGGGTACAGGTCAAAGCAGAGGAATATAAGTTACAAGCATTCACTGATGACCTGGTTTTCTTCATTGAGGAACCGATAGAGAGAGGAAATATTCTTATGGGTGAAATAGAAAAATTTGGAATAGTGGCAGGATTAAAAGTTAATAGAGAAAAGAGTAAAATGTTAGCAAAAAATTTAACTGATAAACAAAAAAGGAAATTGGAAGAGAATTTGGGATTACAAGTAGCAAAAAAGATTAAATATTTAGGAATTTGGCTAACCTCAAGATGTTCCTCAATAAAAGAAGACAATGATACAAAACTGATATTAAAAATGAAACAAGATCTTGAGACTTGGGGGAACCTCCAATTATCACTATTAGGCAGAATCGCATTGATTAAAATGAATATTCTACCAAGATTATTGTATTTATTTCAAACAATCCCAATAAAATTAGAGAAATTTTTTTTTAAAGAACTGGATAAAATAATAAATAAATTTATTTGGGCGGGCAAAAAACCTAGGATAAATATTAAAACATTACAAGATAGTAAGAGTAGAGGGGGTCTTGGACTCCCTAAATGGGAAATCTATTATTATGCGGCAGGATTGTTATGGATCAAAGATTGGATAAACTTGGATAATGAAAGGATATTAATGATTGAAGGACATGATCT